TGATATGTAAAACCATAGAACTCAAAGAGGGTGTACTTTCTTTTTCACACGACTGTATGTACTGTATTGCCAACTATCAAGCAAAATATTATCTTTTGTGAGATATTTCCATTCCTTCTAATTTGTCAGAGAGCAAAAGACAAATAGTCCAAGTTTTTCAAATAGAAGCAGTAGGTTTTGCCAAGTAGGAATTAAATATGGTTCGTCATGCAACTGACTTGGCAGCCAAAGTTACAGCATCTTCTGTTGCCTTGTATTACCATGCCTAGCTCTGCTCCATTGGAATGGCACTAGAGGCTAAATCTAGAATTGAGAATCTTCTATTTGATGAGGACGGATTATTATGCAGTAAAACTGATGACACCTGGGACATGGTACAGAAGCTTTGTAAAACTTGTAAAACAAATGGGGCTGCAGTAAAACTGCTTTGTCCCTTCCAGCTACTGTCCACAGTTCTGCTCATGTCTTGACCAAAGTCTACCCAGTCTTTCAAATAGAAAGAGCATACCATTTCTTGCTCAGGGATTTCTGCTGGTTGTTGGGACTACCTAAAAACACAGCACTGCACATACATATGTACAAGCCTAAAGGCTCCAAATGGCATCTTTGATCTTGATGGTTCTGTCTACTGAGGTTTGAGATTTTCCTTGCTTGCTTTTAAGATCAAGAGACGTCTAGAGTGCTGCTGGAGGAAGATGAGGGATGAATTTGACTGGACACAAGTTAGAGCCGCTATTAAGACCTACCTCGTGGCGATAAGAGCAGCAAAACGTCATTTCCCCACTCTTATTGCATCTGCAAAGTGCTGCCCAGCAGCCCTGTTTAGGGTTACCTGGACCCTCCTGGGTAAGGGGGGCTCGAAGGTTTACCTTCAGGGCTGCACAGAGGAATTTGCTGAATATCTGGCAGACAGAATCTTGGAGGCCAGGCATGGTGCAGGTCCTTTGGAGATGCCCGGGGAACATACTTGCCTGGTTATCTGGGAACAGTTTGATCCTATTGGGCCTGAGGAAGTGGACAGGTCCTTGGGTCTGTAAGTGCTACCACCTGTGTGTTAGATCCATGTCCTTCCTGGTTGGTTAAGACCACCCAGGAGGTGTCATATGGGGTGGGTTTGAGTGATGGTTAATTCATCCTTGAGGGGGGTGTTTCTGGCTCCTTTCAAAGAGGCTCTGGTTAGCCCTTTCCTCAAGAAACCATTGCTCAACCCCACTGTTCTGGACAATTTTTGTCCAGTCTCTCACCTTCCCTTTTTGGGGAAAGTAATAGAGAAGGTGATGGCACTGCAGCTCCAGAGGATCCTGGATGAAACGGATTATCTAGACCTCTTCCAGTCAGGTTTCAGGCCTGCGTATGGGACAGAAACAGCATTGGTCACATTTTTAGATGAACTCTGGCGGGACCGGGATGGGGATAGTGCATCCATCCTGGTTCTTCTTGACCTCTCGGCGGCTTTCAGTACCATTGACCATGGTATTCTTTTGGGTTGGCTGCAGGAGTGGAGAGTGTGGCGGCACAGTCTTGTGCTGGTTCACCTCCTTCCTCCAAGGCTGGTCCCAATCGGTGTTGATAGGAAGTGAGAGGTCCAGCCCGCGGCCCCTGCTTTGCAGGGTGCTGCAGGACTCAGTACTCTCTCCACTCCTTTTTAACATCTACATGAAGCCGCTGGGTGAAATCATTTGTCACCATGGAACGAGGAATGATCAGTATACTCAATTATACATCTCCGTCCCAAGTGAATTAATAGAAGCTGTGGATGTTCTTTCATGGTGCCTGGAGGCTGAGGAGGTCTGGATGGGGAACCCTGATAAGATGGAGTGTCTGTGGATTTGGGGCTCTTTCGTATCTGGGATCTTACCACTTTTGGTTCTGGATGGGGTTGCACTGCCCCAGACAGACCTGGTACGCAGTTTGGGGGTCCTCCTGGACTCACGACTCCTGCTCAAGGAGCAGGTGGCAGTCATGGCTAGGAGGGCCTTTGCTCAACTCCGTGTTGTGCTCCAGGTGTGCCTTTTCCTGGACTGGGGAGCTCTTCTCTCGGTCACTCATGCCCTGGTCATCTCCCGTATGGACTATTGCAACGGGCTCTACATGGGGCTACCCTTGAAAAGTGTCTGGAAGTTCCAACTGGTGCAGAATGCCGCGGCGTGAGCAGTTATGGGCGCCTCTAGGGCTTCACATGTAACACCTCTGCTGCATAAGCTGCATTGGGTGCCAGTTTGCTTCCAGGTCCAATTCAAGGTGTTGGTTAAAAGCCCTACATAGCATGGGCCCAGATTACCTGAGGAACCATCTTGTTCCAGTCACATCGCCCCATCCTACCTGGTCTGGCAGGAAGGGCATGTTATGGACCCCATCGGCTAAAGAATTCTGACTGGTGGGGTCTAGGAGGAGAGCCTTTTCTGCTGTCACCCCTGCCCTATGGAACATCTTGCCCCCTGAGGTGAGATTGGCCCCCAATCTCCTGGCCTTCTGGCAGAGTGTTAAGACCTGGCTGTGCCACCTAGCGTGAGGATCTAATGGGGGCTCGTAGCACTGGGGATGGTTGGTGGTTTAAGGACACTTCCTCCATCTCTTCTCTCTCTATTTTTTGTAAAGTTTTTTTTACTGATTTTATTGGCTTTTCATTTGTAAGCTGCCTAGAATCACTTATACAGTGAGATGGGCAGCATATAAATTTGATAAATAAATAAATAACAATGAGACTCTCTTCCTGCTCCACATTTCCAAGTATAAGAAGGTTTAGGTATTGCAGAGAATTAGAAAGCATACAAGAAGTTCTCCATCTAACAATCCCCAGGAATCCTGCTATTTATATATATGAATCCCAAAGTGAATCCTTGGTCACTTTGTCCCTCAGTGTGGCCACTTGCTTCCTTGCCTTAAAAGTTTCTGCCATCTGTCTTTTGTTTACAAAATGGTTTTCTCTGGTGTGAGAATCCAGGATTCCCTCCTCACCAGCTTCAACCCCTCCAAATGATAAGACTAGTTGATAGCTTTATCTTAGCAAAGTCTGGATAGATATTTGTAGGGGCTGCTTTAATTTGGATTCCTACCCTGATCAGGGTATTGAACTTCATGGTCTAAACAATGTCTTCCAACTCAATCCAATTATAAGAAATTTGACTATCTTGTAAAACTTTAGTTAATGTTTGTATCTTATCATATTTTAGGATGTAAGGATGGAGCTATATTTCCCCTGAAAATTTAGAATTACAGTTTGCATTATTTCTGGATTTGATCTTGACCATGAGTGCCTATGTTTTCATGGTGGTAAGGAGTGTATTTTCACAATTAAGGCTAGTAACAATTGCATTTGTTTCTGGAGGTATCAAGCTAGGCATAGTATGTATTTGGAATTCTGAGAAGATAGAGTCAGTGTTGTGACTAAATGATTGCCAGGGAAAGGTTGCCTATTTATGAAATAGTTGCTATGGTGGGTTCACAACATAGATATTTGGCATAAAGTAAACTGGTCAGATTCCTCCCCCTATCTCCTCCAGTACCTCAGGATGCTGTCCATCAGCTTTCCTGTGTTGTTTTTTTGGGCAGGTGGATACATGTTCAAACAAGTCACAAGGCTGCAATCGCCCATCTTTTTATTTTCTAAATGCCTATAGGAGTACATGGTGCTCAGATATAAATAAAGATGATGCTAAAGACTGGCACCTTTCTTTGTAGCATGCAGCTTCCTGTTCTATTATTATTAATATTTTTCAAATTAAGAGTTCCAGCAAACTATTATAGTAATGGGGGACAAAGGATCTGGTGAGTAATGGGGGACAGAAAACGAAGGGTTGTCCATAGTTACTCTGATGCCGATAAGCAAAATTTTGCCTATCTCTGGGCTATGATAGGCCTGCCTAAAATTCTGTACATTAGGCTGCCTTTCAAAAATGTTTAGAAATGTAATATATATTGCAAGTATATCTAATATATTTGCAAATCAGGCTATTGACTGAGACTATGAAGCATGTGACTGCCTTATTAATATAGATGCCCTGGTACTGGTCTATCTACAGGCAAAGTTCAAGATCCTGGTTCTGATTTATAAAGTCATATGGATTTTTGGACTTGGCCATATGAGAAACCCTATTGTTCTTTCCAAACTTAAGAAATCTACCTGGATTCTAAACTCATGGGAGGCACATTTTCTGAAGATGTGAGAATGAACCTTATTGGGCTGCATCGAGGGAGGTCAAGCTCCCAACCTGTTACCCTTTTGCCATGAGGCAAATAGGTTTTCAATTAAACAGAAGTATTTGGTGAGCAGGGTGCTATCTTCTTTATTAGTATTGTATTTATAACTTAGTTTTATTTTATTGTTAGCCACTATGACTATAGTTCATTAGTGGTAGAAAGACTTGAGTACAAAATGAATAATAAAGGAAGAATTGTTGTTAGGAAGGTATTTATTTGGATTGCTTTTGTCACTGCTGCTGTGTGGCTGATTAGGCTAGCTCATTTGGAATCTGAACATGATTTTATAAATAATTACTTATTAGGATGTTGAAACAGGGTCAGGGCACACAGGAAATGGCCAAGCAATATTAATTTTCAACAGTTGTTCTGTAAGCAGAAATGTGATGCCTGATAAAAATCACCACTTCACTGGCTGCTTGATGTCTCCTATTGGAAATCTTCAAAGATCCAAGCTTACCTTCATAGAAATGAGAAGGGGAACAGGATGAGATGGAAGCAGGGAGGCAGCTGTACTGGATAAGATCACAATTTTCTTCTCTTGCGATTGTGAGGCTTATCAGCATTTAACTGTTGCATCTCTTTTCCGTGTCTCTGAAAGTTCATCTCCTTTCTGTCTGTTTCTTTCAGAGAGTTGATGAGTGGATGGCAAAGGAAGGCCTTTTGGATCCCACGGTCAAGTCTATTTTTGTTACCTGTGGTGATTGGGACTTGAAAGTAATGTAAGTATGGGACAGAGGATTAGGTATTCATATTCTGATGATTTTTGCCGACTGCCAGGTTTTCTTCCTCACTGGAATATCCATGTACTTCTTACTTTGGGGATGTGTCCGAATGGTATATTACTGATGCGTGCAGCCACTTGTAATGTCAGTTCTGACTTTGCTGCATTACTCCTCTATCTACTAACATGTAACCATATTAGAAGCACAATAACAAAGGGCCTTGGCATTTACCTTTTGCTTGTCCAAATATATAAATGGCATAGAACAACCCCCCCATTTGATACATTTCTACTTCAGGCTTTTCTACTTTTGAATATATTCTCTCTAAATATTCAGGATGTGTGATATTGGCAAGAACAATTTCTACTGAGCATATTTCAGATTAAGAGAATTTGATCTTGAATATCAAGAAAAGTTTTGTTTCACAACTTAAACCAAACATGTAACTTGTTCCCATGGTCAGTTTTTGGATTAGAGAACTGGAAAGCAACTAACTTATTACCTTGTCTTAAAAAAGGTATTGGAGGAGATCCGGGAAATTATAGGCTGGTTTGCTTAAAATCTGTTTTCAATAAAATGATGAAATAGATATAAAAAAAGAGAGAATTGAAAGCAAGACGAGCATAGGTCTTCAAGCAGGATGTGTAGCTTTGTGGCTCACACTAGATGAGCTAGAGCAGTTAGGGGACTGTTAATATTCATCTTTGTTTTCTACATGCATTTTCATTTAAGTGGCACAAAAGTCTTGATTCCAGATTCAGAAAATGCTATGAAAATGGCTCATTTATTCCTTCTTTCCATTTATCTTTTTATACAACAGCTTCAGAGGCTGATGATTAGGCTGATTCCTGAGCATTGCTGGTGCCAAGTAGAAAATTCATGATCTTGTGATTCCAGCTTCTCAGAAGTAAGAAATTCAGCTACCTGTTAGTGAACAGCTTGTCACTTTATTGCAGATTGGATGTATCAGCCTTAGTGGTATCACATCCGATTAGCTATATGTCAGAGACCATGTCTTGGCTTGAATGAGAGAGGGTTTGCTGCCAATCCCGACTTGTCTCATTTCCCCGTTTACTTTTATCCATCACTACAAAAGCTGAGGTTCCCCCTTAACTAATTAAGTTTGCATGTGTTTAGACACATTGCCAAATAAGATTTAGCAAAGCAGAACTGAGCTACATCTCTTTTCAGATGGGATTGATGCAGAGCTCGTAGACTGCCTCCAAGATCAAAGAAATGCAGAGGGTTGGATCTGCAGCATGTATAGTGTGTACTTCTCAGTGTAAAGCTAACCTGTAGAGGAACTAGCCATTATACCTTTACTGCACAAAGTATTAACTCCTGTTTCATTTATGATGGAGAACTGTGAGTTGAAATCCAGATTTGAGAGTGGTGTGGCACAGGGTGCAGTAGTAAAATAAAGACAAAGACCAGGTATCAAATAAATTGCAAGCATAATTTGGCAAGGTTAACAGATATTAAACACATTTTTCAAATAAATTCTAGAGGAATAAAGTTATGTGCTTTTGAAAATACAGTGGGGCAAAAAAGTATTTAGTCAGCCACCAATTGTGCAAGTTCTCCCACTTAAAAAGATGAGAGAGGCCTGTAATTTTCATCATAGGTATACCTCAACTATGAGAGACAAAATGGGGGAAAAAATCCAGAAAATCACATTGTCTGATTTTTAAAGAATTTATTTGCAAATCATGGTGGAAAATAAGTATTTGGTCTGTTTCCACCCCCATGCTTCACAGTAGGTATGGTGTTCTTTGGATGCAACTCAGCATTCTCTCTCCTCCAAACACAACGAGTTGAGTTTAGACCAAAACGTTCTACTTTGGTTTCATCTGTTTCCACCCCCATGCTTCACAGTAGGTATGGTGTTCTTTGGATGCAACTCAGCATTCTCTCTCCTCCAAACACAACGAGTTGAGTTTAGACCAAAACGTTCTACTTTGGTTTCATCTGTTTCCACCCCCATGCTTCACAGTAGGTATGGTGTTCTTTGGATGCAACTCAGCATTCTCTCTCCTCCAAACACAACGAGTTGAGTTTAGACCAAAACGTTCTACTTTGGTTTCATCTGTTTCCACCCCCATGCTTCACAGTAGGTATGGTGTTCTTTGGATGCAACTCAGCATTCTCTCTCCTCCAAACACAACGAGTTGAGTTTAGACCAAAACGTTCTACTTTGGTTTCATCTGTTTCCACCCCCATGCTTCACAGTAGGTATGGTGTTCTTTGGATGCAACTCAGCATTCTCTCTCCTCCAAACACAACGAGTTGAGTTTAGACCAAAACGTTCTACTTTGGTTTCATCTGTTTCCACCCCCATGCTTCACAGTAGGTATGGTGTTCTTTGGATGCAACTCAGCATTCTCTCTCCTCCAAACACAACGAGTTGAGTTTAGACCAAAACGTTCTACTTTGGTTTCATCTTCTGGATTTTTTCCCCCATTTTGTCTCTCATAGTTGAGGTATACCTATGATGAAAATTACAGGCCTCTCTCATCTTTTTAAGTGGGATGGTGGCTGCACAATTGGTGGCTGACTAAATACTTTTTTGCCCCACTGTACATGTTCTATAGCTCAAGGAAGAACATTTGTTTACTTATCATTATCATTTGAAATAAATAGTATATGCAAGGAAGGGAGGAAAGGGTTGTCTATATTTTCAGTAGTGCCTGTTAATTTAGGGCAGATGTGTAGATATCTTGTGGCCAGTTTCTCTGTAGCCACTGATCTATTTTTTTGGGCAGTCACTAGAGCCACCAGAAATTGTACAGCTCTTTCTCATTAGGAAAAGTTAAAATTGTTATATACACCTTGTGTTTAAGCTTAACAAACACAATCTCCTATCTTTAGTGGTAATATTGGTAGAAAGATTGTCATGATAAAACAGCTAACAATGAAATTGTGCTGTGGTATAATATTATTTATTTATTGGATTTTTTTTTTTAGCCTATCTTTATTTTTGGTAAACTCAAGGCAGAGCATATACTTAAAGTTCCTGTCTCCTGTTTTCCCCATAACAACAACCCTTTGAGGTGGATTGGGCTGAGAGAGAGAGACTGGTCCAGAGTCACCCATCTGTTTCTCATGCCTAAGAGGGGACTGGAACTCTCAATCTCCTGGTTTCTAGCCTAGCACCTTATCCACTACACCAAACTGGCTCTCTATTAATAACCTAATTACCCAGGGGATAAAATAATTATTTCAAGGTAAAAGGTGTGAAAGGTTTTGGGAAATGTTGGCATTTCCTATACAGAAATAACAAGGCAGGCAAATGAATCTCACTGGTTGAGACACTTCAAAATACGGTGTTTCATTTCAAGAAACACCTTTTCTTCTTCACTGTACCCAATGAAGAGAGAATGTATTCTTGCTCTGGTAGGAAAGAACCTGGAAGGGCAAGACCAGGACTCTGAAACAAATCAAGAACTCGTGAAGGTGATGAAGTGATGACTCAGTATATTCATATCACTAAGCCAGTTGTCTTGCAGACATATTCTTAACTAACAGAACCTTGGAAACAGTTTTGAAGGCAAGTCTGGATACAGTGCAGGGCTGTGATCGCCATGGGAGGCTACTAAGGCATGGGTAACTGAAAGAAGGCTATTCTGTCCAGGAAATAATGTAGTTTGCTTACCGTTACATTATTTTGAGACACTTTAGAGACACTGTTCTTTGTTAGGGGTTGATGGCAGTTATAAGCATCTAGGCATTTTAAAAAAAAATCAGACTTTACTTTTTCCAAGGTGGTGTCATGAGCTTATCTAAAATTGGAAGTGTATTGCTGGGTGTATAGTTACCCCTCCCTTTTCACCATGACTGTAAAACTAGAATCAATAATGAGGTGCTGATTTTATATTCACTCTTTGCATTGGTGGATCAATGATTTTTCCCCTGATCAACATCGATTGGACTGGCAAAGGGGAGACAGCTCTTCCTTTCCTATTCACTACCCTTCTTTCCTTATTGAGATGCAGTATCTTTAACGAGGAAAAAGTTCCTGAGTGGAACATCACCTTTCTGAAGGCTTGTCCTGATAAAGGCATTTCACATCAACATATCTCATGTCAAATTTGGCAAATATGAGTCACTCATTCTAAAACCTTTCTCTACTAAAGAAAGAAAGAAGTCTTTGAACAGAAGAGGGAATGAACCATATCCCACAGCTTGAATACTTCATGACAGCAGTGGATCTAATGAGAGAAGTCCATTCTCTGGATATAAAATGTCCTCCATTTCCATTGGCAAAGAAATACTCTTAATTAAAGAAAAACTACCTGAAGCTATAGATAAGAGACACTACAGCTGCCAGGTTGAAATATATGATTTGGGATTCAGTCTTGTTAAGCTTATGAAACCTTAAGCCTAAGAACAAATGGGAAGGGGCTTGTTTTGGTGGGAACTATTTGAGAATGGAAAGCTGGGAAGCCATGCTTTAGAGGTTGTGTAAGAAGCACATCTTGGCAACCAATTTAGTGAGGGATTTACAGCAAAGTTGGAAGTATACTCATTGCTATAAGCAATCAGTTATATATCCCTTGTAACAACCACTGCATTATGCTTCCTTGTAGGACCAGAGGAGGGAATTGCAGCACAAAACGTGACTGAATGTTACCCCCTATATTTTGTCGCAAATTCTACCTTTTTCAAATAGTATGACTGGGGGGAGGGATATAGTATTATCTTCTGAAAGACAGCCATCCTCTGAGAAAAGAATTTGAATTCTCCTTTCTGATTGCTCTGTTTGTTACATTGTGTTACTTCCTGGAGATTGTCCTAACAGAAGAAGACCTAACTGTGGTCCGGAAGAATCAGAACTAGAGCATAGCTTTCACATTGAATTCTATGGAAACTGATACAGATGGCATTCTGATTGCCATATCTTGTCTTAAATCAAATATGGATTAGTCTTTTGTTTCAAGTTCAGGCATTTTATGTAAACCAACAGACAAGCCAGCAGTTAACCATTTTGAGTAAGCTGA